TATTTTTTTTCATGTTTTGCCGATTTAATTTGTGTGCCATGGTTTTACATTTCATTTCTTTTCATTCCATCTTACATATACCTATGGCTCTATTAAAACGTGTATTTGTGCCAATTATACATGCTTTCCATCAATACTTTTAATTCCTGGTTCATTATTGTAGATACATTATTGTACAGGCTTCAGATGTTCTCACACATTGACAATGTTCCATTTTGTGATTATAGCATTTCCTTGGTGATGCAAGCACTTCAAAGGCTGGCATTTTGTAGGCATAATGCAGTTCTCTTTCTGTGCCATTTTTTGTGTTTTTATGCAATAATTTTTGTGCCTTGATAATAGATCTGTAAATTTTTCGGTACACAAAACTATCTACTGATCCCAATTGCAAATCATAGGATCTCTCTCTTAATTTGATTTTTATATTGGAGTTTAAACAAATAATTAATATGTCATGTGATACTCTGTCTCATAAATGAAACGTGTTCCAATGCTAGTTTTATCATGAACAGTAAACACATCATATTAGCAAATATAACAAAGAAATATTGGTAATCTTTCTTTTTTCCTGTTTGATATTCAGCGAATGATTGCTTTTCCACCATCTCCAAAACATGCTTCTGTTCAACAATTTTTTTCTGTGTTTTCAAGATTGTTCGATGTGGAATTAAAATGGAGAATAACCAATATTAGGTTACTTTGAAATTAAAATTAAATATGCTTTTACATTTAGATTTGACTAGATATGAGTTTCTGAGGTTAGTTGTATGATCGTTAGTCAGTAAAAGTTTCAGTAGACTTTTAATGAAATTTATCAATTGATACCTTGTTTAGAGATAGAGAGCATTCTATTCGTGAATGTCTATGCAGTTTTCTCAGTCTTCTATTTTCTTTTTCATGTGAAATATTATATTGAATATAAAGAAATCTTTTAGAATGCTAATATCTTATAGCTCATAAAAAGAAAATTAAACAGAAAAATATTTAGTTTCTTCTCTGGAACAGCTAAACCAATTTTAACCAATTTTTGCATAGACATCTATGAGCGAAGGGGAACAAAATTCATGAAATTCACGGTCCCCCCCCCCCCTTATCTTGGGGCATGAAAGATGGAGGCAAAAATGTCATTTTTCAAAATCTTCTTCTCCTGGACATCAACTTAAACTTTTGCCATTGTTAAATAAGCATTGAGCCCTAGAGAAGAATTGTGGAATTCATTGCCCCAGGCTCAGGGGTTCTGGAGTTAGGATGGGACTTTTATAAACATATAGTGAAAATGCATAAATTCTTCCAAAATCTTCTATCCTCTGTAAATTCCGCAGATAAACTAAGTGCATGGTTATGAAGCGCAATGGGGTCTCTTCCAAAATTGTGATATTTGTGGTCCCAGGGTCAGGTGTTACTTGGAAAGGGGGGTGCTCTATAGATTATAAAGTGAAAATGCATCATTTCTTTGAAATTCTTTAATTTGCATTGCGCAAACAAACTAAATTCATAGTTATAATGAGCAAGGATGACTATTTTAAAATTGTGAATTTTATGGCCCCTGGGTAGAGGTTTCTGGTTAATGGTGGGGCTCTTATGATTAAATAGTAAAATTGCATTACTTTTTAGCTCACCTGAGCTGAAAGCTCAAGTGAGCTTTTCTGATCACATTTTGTCCGGCGTCCGTCTGTCTGTCCGTCTGTCTGTCTGTCCGTCTGTCTGTAAACTTTTCACATTTTCGACTTCTTCTCAAGAACCACTGGGCCAATTTCAACCAAACTTGCCACAAAGTATCCTTGGGTAAAGGGGATTCAAATTTGTTCAAATGAAGGGCCACGCCCTCTTTCAAGGGGAGATAATTAGGAATTAGTGAAAAAATAATGGCAACATTTAAAAATCTTCTTCTCAAGAACCATAGGGCCAGGAAAGATGAAACTCATGTGGAAGCATCCTCAAGTAGTGTACATTCAAATTTGTTCAAATCATGACCCCCGGGGGTAGGACGGGGCCACAATGGAGGATGAAAGTTTTACATAGAAATATATAGGAAAAATCTTTAGAAATCTTCTTCTCAAGAACAGCAAAGCCATGATGAGTCATATTTATATGGAAGCGTCCTCATGTAGTGTAGATTCAAGTTTGTTAAAATCATGACCCCCGGGGGTAGGATGGGGCCACAATGGAGGATGAAAGTTTTACATAGAAATATATAGGAAAAATCTTTAAAAATCTTCTTCTCAAGAACAGCAAAGCCATGATGGGTCATATTTATATGGAAGCATCCTCAGATAGTGTAGATTCAAGTTTGTACAAACTATGACCCCCAGGGGTAGGGCGTGGCCACAATGGAGGATGAAAGTTTTACATAGAAATATATAGGAAAAATCTTTAAAAACTTCTTCTCAAGAACAACAAAGTCATGATGAGTCATATTTATATGGAAGCGTCCTCAGGTAGTGTAGATTCAAGTTTGTACAAACTATGACCCCCGGGGGTAGGGCGTGGCTACAATGGAGGATGAAAGTTTTACATAGAAATATATAGGAAAAATCTTTAAAAATCTTCTTCTCAAGAACAACAAAGTCATGATGAGTCATATTTATATGGAAGCGTCCTCAGGTAGTGTAGATTCAAGTTTGTTCAAATCATGACCCCCAGGGGTAGGGCGTGGCCACAATGGAGGATCAAAGTTTTATATAGAAATAATATATAGGAAAAAATCTTTAAAAATCTTCTTCTCAAGAACAGCAAAGCCATGATGAGTCATATTTATACGGAAGCGTCCTCATGTAGTGTAGATTCAAGTTTGTTCAAATCATGACCACCGGGGGTAGGGCAGGGCTGCAATGGACTATCGAAGTTGTACATAGAAATATATGGGAGAAATCTTCTTCTCAGGAACAGCAAAGCCCAGATTGTTCATATTTATAAGGATTTATTCAAGTCATGACCCCCGGGGGTAGGGCGGGGCCACAATGGAGGATCAAAGTTTTACATAGAAATGTATAGGAAAAATTTTAAAAATCTTCTTCTCAGGAACAGCAAAGCCCTGATTGATCATATTTATATGGAAGCATCCTCAGGTAGTGTAGATTCTATTTTGTTCAAATCATGACCCCCGTGGGTAGGATGGGGCCATAATGGAGGATCAAAGTCTTAAGTAGAAATATATAGGGAAATATCTTCTTCTGAAGAACTGCAAACCATGATTAGTCATTTTGATATTGAAGCATCCTCAGGTAGTGTAGATTCAATTTTGTTCAAATGATGACCCCCAGGGGTTGGATGGGGCCCATTGGGGGTTCGAAAGTTTTACATAAGAACATATAGAAAAGATATTTCTTCTCAAGTACAGGAAAGCTATGTTTAGTCATATTGATATGGAAGTATCCTCAGGTAGTGCAGATTCAAGTTCAAGTGATGACCCCTGGGATAGGGAGGAGCCACAATGGAGGATCAAATTTTTACAAAGGAATATATGGGACATTTTTTTAAAAATCTTCTCAAGTACAATAAAGCCATTTGTTATATTGACATGGAAGCATCATCAGGTAGTTTGAAATTCAAGCCCCCCTCCCCCACCCCCACCCCCAGGTAATCTTTTCAATACTGAACTGATTTGTGCTTTTGCCTAGCCAATGTGCTCAGGTGAGCGATGTGGCCCATGGGCCTCTTGTTTGAAAATCTATTCTTCACCTCCTGCGTATAATAGAAAACAATCAAGTGCATGATGAGCAAGAATGCCTTTTCCGAAATTGTGAATTTCATAACCTTGGGGTCAGGGGTTCTGTGGAAGGGGGCACTATGAACTAGGTAGTGAAAAGCATTATTTCTTTGAAAATCTTCTCTTCTCCTGGGTATTAAAAAGTATAAAATATTTTTTAAAAAAAGCAAGGGTGCATTTTCAAAAATGGTGAATTTCACGGCCCCAGGGTCAGAGGTTTTGGTGTTAGGGCAGGGCTCTATTGATTATATATGGAAAATGTATTTATTTCTTTGAAAATCTGCTTCTCTGCTCCTTGAAATTAAGCAAATAAACTAAGTACAATGTTATGATGATCAAGCGTCATTTTTCCGATATTGTGAATTCCATGGCCCCTGGGTAGTGGGTTTTGGTGTTAAGGCGGGGCTCTATTAATTGTGTAGTGAAAATGCATTTTTTTTTTTTTTTGAAAATCTTCTTTTCTGCTCCGAGTAAATAACTAATTGCTTGATAATAATAAGCAAGGCTGCCTTTTCCATGGTCAGGGATTCTTGTGTTAGGACGGGTCTCCATCGACCATAGAGTAAAAAGGCATTACATGTATTTCTTTGAAAATCCTCTTCTCTGTCTAGAGTGTTAAGCAGTCAAACTATGTGCATGAATATGATGAGCAATGGCCCCTGGTTTAAGGGTTTTTGTGTTATGGCGGGCTCTGTTGATAATATAGTAAAAATGCATTTATTCGTTGAAAATCTTCCTTTCTGCTCCTGGGTATTTAGTAAACAAACTACGTGCGTGAAATTGTGAAATATATGGCCCTGGGTCTGGTGTTCTTGAACTAGGGCGGTGCTTTATTGATCATATAGTGAAAATGCATATATTCTTTAAAAACCTTCTCTCTTCCTGGGTTTTTAGCAAACAAACTAAATGCATGATTATAATAAGCAAGGGTGTTTCTTTCAAATTTGTAAAATTCATGACCCCTGGAATGAGGGTGGGGCTTTATTGATCATATAGTAAAAATTCAGAAATTCTTTAAAAACATTAACCTGCCTCTATGTTTTTAGTAGAGAAACTAATTGCTTATTTATGGTGTACAAGGATATCTCTTTCAAAAATTGTGAAATTCTTGGTCTCTGGATTAAAAGTTCTGGTGGTGAAGGGGCTCTATAGATTAAACAGTGAAAATACATTATTAGTACTGGCAAGTACAGGTAAATGAATAGATCTGCTTCATATGATTTGTTACTGAGTACTAGACTAACTATTATGCTGATTTCTGATCATTATATTTCTCTTGATTTTGAGCAATATGTCTTCATCTATCTGTATTTGTTTTATTTATACTTCTGTGGATCCTTGGGCCTCTTAGAATTTTTTTTTTGGCTCAGTCTGTTGAAAAAAAAAACCAAAAGGTTTCGTGCAATTCAAGAATTCAATTACATGTCCTAGATCTGAACGAAACCTTGTTATCGTGACAATATATATAGTGCCAATGTCAAGGTCGGCAGCAAAAAAAAGTAGAACGACTACTTGTCTTATCATACAATTAGATCTTATAGACGTCTTACAGCAATGAAGATTTTCTTTGTCCTTTTCGCCTTAATAGGTACATTTGTTTTGGGAGTACCCAGGAACCAGGTGATTTTCAAAATACAAAGTAATGCTTAATTAGTAAGAACTTGCGATCTTTTTTTGCGGGGGGGGGGGGGGGGCTCAAATTTTGTACACACTATATGGTGTAGAATAAGCTTTTAGTTTGTTTCTTATCATGCAAATATAATCGTTATGTTTAGTGACAATTTTTAGGGTTTTGCAGACATTCTTGTTCAAAGGAAAGAGGAAAAAAATCACTCTCAATTTCAAGAAGCGTATCTTCATGTAAGAATTACATGCGAACTAACCTAAGAAGCTGTTGATGACTAAGCTGAGCTAACCAGAATGAAAATCGAGTAATTAACACTGCACCTGCTAGCATCCTAATTTAATGTCTCACGACTCTGATTCAAACTGAAAAGCCGCAGACGTATTTACTTAATTTGCCTTATTGTGTTACCTCTCCGGATATCGTGTTTCGTTTTGTTATATTTTGGTTAATCTATCATAGAAAAACTGTTTTTGAAAGTACGAAGACGCAAACCTTAAGTATTTCTGCAGAGCACAGCAATAAACTTTGCACATTTTTTTTTATTTTATTTGAAGACAAAATTCATGTTGAATACGTAAAATACCTTCATATTTTCTCTATATGTAGCAGGATCTAAACCCAATCTTTATCTTTCTTCTGTAAATGAATACCGGGTATTATATTTCAATACTTTATTTGGGATGTATTCGTTAGTTACTATTTCTTTGTTGAATAAACAATACGTTTAGAATTATACAGACTGTTGTACATGTATGTATCTCACATTATAAATGTATGTAATACATTTACAATGTAGTTGTGCATCAAATGACATCACAGTGTCTTTATAGGCGATAAACCCCCGCCTCCTCCAGGCGGACAGAAAGTCGTCAATGTGACAGACCCACGTGTAATCAAGGCGTCATTCGTTGGCATCGAGTCCATCAACCTGCAAAATGGATTTGGGGAAGACGTGCTGAGAGAGGTCATCTACAAAATCACTAACGCCACAGAACAGGTACCCAGTACATAGAATCTTTATGTAAGTCCAACCAACAGTACATGTAGTAAAGATAGCGAATGGTATAATTTCTTTAACGAAAAATTGGATTAAAAGTTTTTTTCTTATTTTTTTCTTTAGACCAGCAATTGTTTCTTTCTTCTGAATTCGTCTTTTTCACTTATCTCTAGTCACAACTTTGGGTCATTCAATTGATAAACTTAAGGAGAAGGTATACACCTTTTATACGTACAGAGCAGTTTGGACACGATTGTTCCTTTGCTGTATTGCGTTTATCAGTGCATACGTTCGTCTAAGATTCTATATTTCTTCGAAATTACAATACTATTGTATACATAAATAATGAACACTTGAAACTAAAACTTCGTTGATAAGAACACCTTGCTTCGATTACTTTAATGCTGATCTTAAATCAATATATATTTATTAGAAGTATAAATATCAAAAAGTATGTAGTTCGTCGTTTTTATTTTTATTTATTTATTCATTATCATTTTTTGTTTATTTATTTACCAGGAAGGCTTTTTTATAATTATTAGTTGAACCGAAATGAAGTCTTCTATTTGTATATGTATCAGATACTAATATTATAAACACATAGGCCCCTTTCAAGCTTCTTAATTTCTAATGACTTTTAATATTTAAATGATTTAATACTTTTGCATGTATCTGTAAAAAAAGGCCTTTTTACTGCGTACCAATAAAATACAATGATTTTGAGGAATCTGTATTTCAGGTGGTGAATGGTGAATTGTTTCGTTTGATTATGGAGGTTGGGCCCTCTGAATGCTTTAATACATTGATGAATATTGGGAAAAATGCAGCTGAGTGTCCGCTATTGTCACCTAAATTGGTAAGTTAAATAAGAACCAAATCATTTAAATCCTAAATACAGTAGATACTCAGTATTTTTTACTTTAGTATTTGCATTGTTCATATGCATATGGATAATTTTATTATTATTCTATATAAAAGCCATGCAGTTCTCTATGTACATTTACTTTGCTTTTAAACCATATGATGTGAAAAGTGGTGTCATTTAAACTTCAAATGCCTGGATTTGATGCAGGTACATCCATGCTTTACTGAAGTTTTATCAAGGAATTGGACAGTGCCGCAACACCTTACGTTAAACATATCATGCCAACCATTACCAAACATAGAGAGTGCTGGTTTACATAAGGTACAACACTTCTAGTTTGTTTTAAACTTAACGTTATGTTTTTGTATCTATTCTTTCTTTTAAACGGTAGAAAAACACACTAAAATATACGAATGAGTTCAACAACAGAATATAATATATATATGTTTTGTTTGTTTGTTTGTTTATATGTTGTTTAACGTCCCTCTCGAGAATTTTTCACTCATATGGAGACGCCTCCACTTGCCGGTGGAGAGCTGCAAATTTTGTCCTATACTTGGCACTTACGGCCATTGAGCAGTGAGGGATCTTTTTCGTGCCAGCACCTACTGCGACACGGGACCTCGGTTTATACGGTCTCATCCGAAGGACCGGTCTCCACGTCCCACAGTGAGATTCAGACCCGCGACGTAAGGATCAACTCCTTACTTCGCGACTCTGGAGCAGACGCTCTAACCACTGCGCCACGCGGGCGACTATAATATATATACATGTATATATAATAAAGAATACAGCTATTTAGTTTAATTATTTCCTGATGATAAAATTTAATTTCTTTTGCAATTGACAGATTGTGTAGAAACAACCCGAGAGAAAGATTGAAACAGTACTGATTATCGTGGTTCGTTTCTTTAGTAAATATTTAACGACGTGATATTAAATATATTTTTATACATCGACATACTACACTTTCCAATAAAAATTTAAAGTGCAGCAATATATCATTTTTGTAATTTTAAAATATCAGCTAGATCCTAGTATATTCCAGAGGAAATGCAGTTCAAATATTACAGGCCACAATGCTCACCTTATATTACTTTAAAAATATACAAATGAGCGACACCTTAAGAAAATGATTACATGGATTTTTGTGTATACATATTAAATTCAAACTCTTTTTATCTCTGTTGAAATGTCACCCTGTTATTTATGGACGCAATGATCATGATATCGGATAAAGGAAGCCAAAGAGTGGACCCTTTAGAAGTTAGCTTTTCTTCATAACCTCTCATTTTCTAAAAGGTCATAGCATGCAATTGATGACATGCTTAGTATCAAAGTTCTACCTCTTTTTGTTTTAAATGAGACATTTGGAAAATATTTCTTATTTTTAGAAACAAAGATCAGATTCATGGTCACATTGTCAATAACCCTGGCGCTCTGCTTGTAAAGGTCTTGAAGTATGCAATAGTTTTGCTAAATACATGTATTAAAGCCTTAATTATTACTTGAGAAATGGAAATTGAAAGTGGACTAGGTTCAAGTTAATTTCACGTGTTCCAAGCCCTTATAGCCAAAAAGAAAGTCTTGTCATATGCAATGCAATTGCTTAAAATCAAAATTCTTTATCTTATACGGATTAAAAGGTACTGTGCATATTGCCTGCATAAAATAATCTAAACAAAAATCAAAAAGAGAAAGTTTAAACACAACGTAAATAACTCTGAATGACCTTGTGGTACCAGTAGACGTATTAGATATCCACTTCTCTTAGTTTCAAGGACACCATGTACTTACGAATGGACAGACAGATTGACCTCTAGGCAAATGATAAAGTGATCTATTCGTCTTCGCTCTACATTGCACGCAAAATCTACCTGCTTGTGATAGAGATGAAGCACTAAATATTCAAAATAAATGTAAAAGTGTTGTCCATAATTAACCAACACATGAACAAACACAGAGGTAGGCAAATGGACTTTTGCAAGAAGCGCTAACTTTTACTGTCGACGGCTTAATTTCACGCTAGGACAATATAAATTTTGCAATATGAATATTTACCTTAAAGTTAATTAAAAGATAATGATAAGTCATTTCAAAGAACATACGTTGTCTAGGAAGGGAACGGTAGCCACCGTATCTTCAACCCTCTCCCTTAAATTCCCTCCTTGACAAATAGTTTTCCGTCCGGATTGTGTGTTTTTTCTTATTTGATTCCTTTAGAAAATGAGATAAAAAGGAGATACTACCCCTCACAAATAAAATATTTTTATTATGCTATTCTGTCTCCCGTTATCTCGTGTGTCGATGGTATACCGGTAAATCATGTTAGCGACCCAAACACCAAATTTATAGCACAACTTGAGTTTTCTTATCAATTCCGTACCTCCGTATATAATGTCAAAGTAAGCCGTCGATTGTAAAATACAGCTTTGGGTGAATACTGATATGAATCATAAGTTCACAGTGAGATTCTATGAAAACTGAGATCCCCGTTACACCTGTATGCTCTTACCAAGGGTAGGATCAGGTCCCTTGGAGGAGTAAGTATCCCTTGTCGACCAGTCACACCCACCTTGAGCGATCTGTATAGATCAGGTAAACGGAGTAATCCGTAGTCAAAATGATATAAAAACAATTGCCTCACATTTGATGGGAAACACGACCAACATGCTATTTAGTATCGAATCATTTGGAAGACATCAATACCTTATGCAGGTGACTGTGGAACATTACTACATAAATAGGGAAAGTTGGCGATGGAAAAGTTTAAGTCACCCCATTTATCATATATTTAAGCTATTTGTTGACCATTGCTCTCCATATATAGACAATAAAATATCCTAATATGAAGCCGATGTAGCAGATATTGTTTGTACTTTATTTCGAGTTCACCGGGATATATCGAGTTGAATTATAAATAACTAAATTGTTGTATCGGAATGTTGAATTGAAAACCACATCAAGAGTTTTATTGTTCTCCTGTAAAAGTTTTTTAATAAATTCTGCTTCATAAGAATATAAAATCGGGATGGCTAATAAATGAGCACAATTAGTGTCCATCGAAATATCAACAGATTGTTGGAAGACGCCGTCTCCAAAGGCTACATATATATATTGTCAATGAGGTAATTTGTAAATCTCAAAAGTTTTGATTCTGGTGCATAGTTGTTAAACAATTGTTTGGAAAACCTTATTTAACATGATTTTTCTAAAGTATCCTTAATGGTTTTAACTGAAATATGAAGATAACGAACAGTATTCAATCTCGAAAGTCCAATGAAAGGATACAAATCAGGAGCAGAGCGGACCTCAAAATTTAGAGGTGGGATCAGGTGTCATGGAGGAGTGAGCATCCTCTGCCGCCCGGTCACACCCGCCTAGTGCTCCTTGTTGTGATCGGGAAACAAAACCTGGAAAAAACATAAGACAGTTCAGTGTATAAATAATGCCTAACAATTAGTATGAAAAACGTCAGTCACCATTTGACTCAATCATAAGTTGTATGTGCTGACAAGGTCATTGTATTCGACCGAAAAACTTGCAAAAAGATTACTTCAAACGGGACTGTTGATATCCTTGTTTCGGAAACTTGTTTGTCAATAGCTTGCCTCGTTTTAGAAATTGTTCATACGTAGTGCATGCTCTTGCGTATCGAATCAACTGAGAGACATAAACCCCATATGCAGGTGATACATATAAGGGTATATTGCTACACAAGTAAGGGAAGTTAACGATTGAAAAGTTGAAGTCATCACGTTTTTCATAAATCTTTGTTGTTAGGTAACAGTTACCATTAACGTCTTTTTTTAGTAAAATATCTAAATATGAAACAGATGTGTCAGAATCTGTGGTATCTTTTATTTCAAGCTCACTGTGATATATCCAGTCGACATATGAATGAAAGTAACTATTGTTAATTGATAATACGTCGTCGATATATCGAAATGTCGAGCTGAAGGCCACAGCAAGTGTTTTCTTCTTCTCATGTAGAAGTTTTTGAATAAATTCTGCTTCATATGAATACGAAAATAGGTCTGCTAATAAGGAGGCGCAATTGGTACCCATGGGAAATCCAAAAGATTGTTGGAAGACCTGATCTCCAAAAACTACATAGATATTGTCAATCAGAAACACAATTGGTACCCATGGGACTTCCAACAGATTATTGGAAGACCTGATCTTCAAAAACTACATATATACTGTCAATCAGAAACTCAAGCATGGACAATTTTTAAACAAATTTTAGCCACTTGTAACACTTTACCAATTTTACTAACAAAATTAACTACATGTAAGCATATTTCAAACCAGTGTCATCCACATGTATGTGACCGCAATAATGAGACCGAATTTTATATAAATTTAGGTATAGAAGCTTAGAAAAAAAATTGAAAAGAATGAATCTGATATAGATTAGGATATACAAACGTGAGTTGTGATTTCCTTATATCTATGAAAAGCATTTTTGTGAAAAAAGAATATGAAAAGAAGATTTTGAATATTGGTTGGTTGGCCTGATCCTTAATTAAGGAGACAATTTTATCTGAATGTCGCTGTTTACTAGTTAGAGAAAAACTATGCCCTGCAAATAGTGCTGATAACCAGATGTCATCTGAAGAAATAGTTTGACAGCAAATCAATGGGTAAATTATTTAGCCCCTAATCGACGCGTGTCCTCATATCCTGCTGTCCATTGGTAACAAGGACATTTTTTCTAGCCAAGACAGCCAAAACTGTACTTCACTAATTACTACACACATATATAATTCCGAGAGCATTCGGTCCGTGCTTTTAAAATAACTATCAAATTCTAGAAAAAGGGAACCGTGTCTGGTGCCAAAAAGTCAAAACTGTTTATGCATTCTAGGTCAGAATACGTTCACAAATTAAACATTTAAACATTAATGATTGAGTTTAATTCACCAAGCTTTCAAATTGTAGAGGTTACGCTTCTGCATTGCGTTCTTACTCCAAACATCCTATAGCAAGTTACATGTATGAAATGGTTAAACAACAAATATAATTTTCCTTTTTTAACCTAAAGTTACTCTTTGTCTTAGTTTGTAAAACTGCAATATCTAAGCGCATTCTAATTTCTTTTACATGATACATGCAAGCTTAACACATTGGACTAGGATCTGAATAGTTGAAAATTTCCAAATTCTACTTGGGTTGAATTAAATTTTAATTAAACAATTGCATTGAAAAAATAAAATCTGAATGATTTTTCTGAATGTCATTTTTATTGACTTTTCATTCGCCAATTAGTACGTCATATTGATGCACAAAAGCACAAATTTGGAATAAAATTGAACATCGAGTTAGAAATTGCTTTAGAGAAAAGTGTGGTAGAAACAAACTTAATTTCATGAATTCATTCCACTTTAGGACCAAACAGATGAAATTTCAAAGGTGATTTGATTATCAATTCTGAATAGTTTATTCTCAATATTATATTTAAATATAAGTTTAAGTCACGGAATAGAGAATGAATATAAATGTTTTTTTTTTTTCCAGGAATAGTAAATCATACTATTCAAAGGCAGAAAAAAATAGACTTGGGCAAAAAATTATTTTGATTTGATAAAGTAAGCTCTAAACACCCTAGGTCATTTACAATTAGAAGTTATTGTCTAGACGTGGGAATTAAATTAATTCTCTATTGACTGAAAAGCGCACTCCAGAATAATGGCGAAACACTTTTCATCATGATAAATTTTTGTTCCTTATTTTCACACTTTTTGCCGATCGTTCAACTTATAGCGAAAATTAAATTTGCCCAGAACAATATATTAATTCTACGCCGTAGTTTTATTAGTGTTGCACTTCTAAAAGCCATTGGGTCTAATGCCAGCG